TCATGTTTTTTAGCTTGTTCAGCTTTTTATTTGTTATTTGGACAGAGTGGGGACTTCCAAGCTTCTTCTATGCCAGACTGGAAATCAGAAGTTCACTGATCTAGTATTTATGTAGCCCAAGGATCTTACTTTTCTTCAGCATCACTGTGGGCTCATATTAACCTTATAGACCAAAATATAGACCAAACATTAATGTTTGGGAATTTTATTATTTTAGTATGAACTCGTGTTAATCCATGTCTCCCTATTCTATATGTAATGTGCAGTTGTAAAAAGTTTTAACCTAAGTGCACAAGCTCTTATTTATCTTTGTTATATTTTATCTGTTTAATTCATTTCTCATGCCAGCATATGGAGAGTATTTTAAATGTTCATTATTTTACCTGATATATTATGTGTCTCTGCATCCTTTGGTCTCAAATTCAATGAGCACATGTTCTCTTTCTTCAAGTCACAAAATTATAGAATTTTCTATCTAGAGGGGACACAAAATATCATATAATTCGTCCCCCTTAGTTTAAAGCTAGGGAAACTTAGGTCCAGACAGCGGTCTAACTGACTCCTCCAAGTCACACAGATCACTGACGGAAGATTACGGTCTTAAAAAAAGGACTGGAGAGCAGGTCTGGGAACCAAGTCTGAGACACTTATTGTCGCTGGAAGTCCTCAACGGGTGTTGAAACATTCAACAATACACTTGAGGTACAGTTGTTCAGCTATGACTGAGCATGCATTATCTTCCATTATTGCCACTGACACTGACACACCTTGATAGAATCTAACAGACTTTAACACTGCAGACAAGAAATAAAGTTGCCTTAGAATGACTTGTTTTTAGTGAACCATACTGGCTACTTTTAATAAATTATAACCATTTCCAAATAATTAGTAAAAATATTTATATAAGCCAGTCTGTTTTCCAGTTCATGATTTCTACAATCCTTTTGAATAATCAGGACATTTCCTCACTTCCGTTCTTCTGATATTTCTATTTTTATTCAGCAAAACAAAGTGAGTAATATATTTAAAGACAAACAGACTCAACCATGTGAGATTTTAAAATGTACCTATATAACAGTTGAGTCAACAGACTATTTAGAAAATGTGGAGGAAAAACTTTGATGCTATTGCTATAAGCAGATGTAAATGTATAGCTTTAAGTGCTTTTGGTGGGAAAGAGAGAGAATGAATAAGTGAATGAATGAATGAACCAAGCATTCAACCTTTGGAAACACAAGAAAAGAAATAATAAGGAAGATATTAATTAGAATATAAAGAAAAATAATTAAAAATAAATTGAAAATTCATTCTTTGACAAAAGTATGAACAAGCATCTAACAAAATTTTATTGCAAAAAAGAGTGAAATAAGCCGATATTAGATACTTAATATTAGACCTAAAACATCTTAGGTAGAAAGGAAATAAACCGGGGTGGTGTCAAGATTTGGATACCAGCAGAAGGAAGGTTGTGGCGAATTTTTACAGAGGTAATAATGTGATAGTGGTTTTTTTAAAAGCTTTAGAAAGATTTTAGAAGTTGAATGAAAACAGCTCGTGACTCCTGCAATTAAGAAGGCATTGGAGAAACCTAGAAGCTCTCAGTAGAACGTGGGTTACAAAGCCAGGCTGCAAGAGATTAAGGAGATATGAAGAGGCAGCAAGAGTCACCCATTTTCAGAGATTCAGAAACTGAACAAAAGGGGCCCAACAGTGAAGCCAGGTTGGGTTCCAGTACGGGTATCTTGAAGGATTCTTGGAGCTTCAGAAAAATGCCCCTGCTTCTACTTATTTAACCTTCTAAATGAGTAAAGAAATTTTTGGCACAATTTCAAAACAATCCAGCCTAGATGGTACTATCTTTAATAATAGTATGTAGTAGACAATAGTAATGAAAGACTTTGATTAAACAGAATTAGTTACTCTTTAGGTTTGATATTTGGTGTCTTGTTAATTCCAGAGTCCTCTTACTATTTATTTCAGCACTATTTACACATTGCACTTCATCTTCAGTCCAATCCAATCCTCACTGTTCATCAGATCTCTGACAACTGTATTAACTTTCATTAATTTAGCACACAAGACTTAATAGTAGACATCACAACCAATCATTGTTGCAAAGTTTTTAGTATTTCTTAGAATGCTGCTACTAATATATAAGATCTATATTAGCTAACTTTGGCGTAAAAATTCTCATGCCTGAAAAACAAAGGAACTATGGACAGCATGCTTTGCCGAGAAGTACTTGGTTTACAATTGTTCATATCTGAAAATACATAGAGTTACCTTCAGTAGTTGTTTTCAGAAGAAAATATTCTTCTGGAAGCTAAGACTAGTGAATGAGGGGGAAATTGGTTAAAAACAAAAAATGTTAAAAACAGAAAACAGTGCTCATCCCCTTTTAAGAGCTATTCAGATGAAAAATTGCTCGGCATGAGCTTGATCTATATGTTTTTCGTGGTTATTAGTAGTAATGAAGATGCATTAACCATATTCTCTTGATAATGCTCTAGCAGTTTCTTAGTACTTTTATCAACATATAAATTTTACAACTGGCAATATGGGAATTTGACTAGTACATTTTTGTTTATAAAAAAGGGTAACAACATTATAACTTCTTCATATCTGTGAATTATGAAGCTTGACGTGCAAATAAGCAAAACTAAAATGCAGTAGAACTTCAATATCCTGATAGTTCTTCCTTCTGCTGCCACTCACAAAAATGGGAATGCATGGGGGCTGCTTAGTGGAGTACAATGCCAGAGGTGAATGCCTTCTTAATCCAGAATTTATGGATTCTTTTCATTTCATTCATTCTTTTTCTTAATAAACAAGTATCGAGTGCCTTCTCTGTTGCTAAGCTGTAGTGTCTGTAAATTGAGAATGTTCTACTTCAACAGGAAGCAGCTGAAAACAGGAAGTGGTGCATAATCCCTACGTATCCTTATCTCCATTAGGAAACGTTATTTTTGATAATTTTTGGAAGGACATTAAATAGCTTGGTTCTTTAAAGATGAAACTTGATGCAAAAAGAACCACTTGAAAGGTGATTTTTTTTTACATTCCATTGAGTTATAAATGAGTAGATCTTCCTTTTATAAAGCTGAATTTCAGGTTTTAAATTTGACTTGTCCTATCTCCAAAGCAACGTAAGTCTCCAATTCCTGGCCTATAATATTAGCTAGTGCCATTAGAGAAAACTTTATAGAAAGAAGAGGAATGGTGTTCCTTCCTTTTTAGTAGAACTCTGGATCACTTCTGTTTTCAAGCTGTTATCTAGTCATGCCAAGGATACAGCTGTCATATAAAAAGTAGAATTACTGTGTGAGTGCTGCCTGGTAGATCTGAGAGAAGGAAATGATGGTAAAATTCAGGTTAACTCAAACTTGACTTTCAGTTTTCCACTGTTATGAAAAAGAAGCAATATGTGAGAAAATAAGTTTCTATTAATGATTTGGGCAATAAAGCTACAAACTTTGGTATTGTCATAGAGTTGGACTACCTCCACAACTAAAATAACGTATAATCATAACTGGTTTTTAAGATAATAGCCCTGAGATACTTGAAGATTATGAATCATTTGGGAAGTAATCATTCGTTTAACAAACATTTGCTTGGTGTCCTCTATTTGCCAGATGGTTCTAACACAGGCGCTGGCAAACCGTGGAAGCTGAGCGACGAAGTGTACGTGAGGGAGTGCAGTGTTTAAGGGGGTTAATTGCCACTGAGAGGTAGAGTAAAATAAGGGTAGACCTTCAGCTCTGCAATGCGGAAGTCATTGGAGACCCTGAGGAGTGGTTTCAGAGCAATGGCAAGGAGTCCACAACCACGCCTTAGTGGGCCAAAGACTGAAGAAGCAGAAGTAGCATGTTTAGATTCCCTTTTGAAAAAACATGTTGTGAGGAGGGAAAGAAGTGGGATGGTAATAGAAAAGAATGAAGATTTAAAGGAGACGTTAGTGTGTGCGTGCACATGCACACACACACAAACCCCCATACCCATGGTTGTATGCTAAGAGGAATGATACAAGAGAAGGATGCAGGAGCAGGAGTCTCGAAAAGTCTGAGGAGATGGGATCCAGAGCACGGATGGAGAAGCTGGCCATGGCTAGGAGCAGGGACTCTTCTTCCACTGTAACAGGTAGAAAGACTTAGACCACAGGTAGAAGGAGCTGCCATGCAACAAATATTTATAAAATACCTATTTTGTGTTAGGCAATGGCAATATATAGCAGAGAGACAAAAAATCCTTACTTTCATGAAACTGTTATTTGAGTGGGGATTGGATGAGGTGGACAGATAATAACCGAATAAGTAAAATATAAGTAGGTCAGAGATGCAAAGTGCTATCAAGTAAAGCAAAGCAGGGCAGCAGGGAAGGAGGACATGGAGTGCTGGAGCGGCGGGGGTGGATTGCAATTCTCATGAACTGGGCCCCTGATGTAACTTCTGTGAATTTACTTTGTGACTCACAGACAGATTTATTTTTCAAAATCAGATTAAATGTGGCCTAATACCCATATGCCAGGGCTTGTGGGAAATCTGCTCTCAGCCTGGCTTCACAGGTGCCCCTTCTGTGAGTAGCCCAAGGCTTGCCCAGCCCTGTGCCTCTCCTTCAGAGTCCTCATCACAGGTTTTAATCATACATTTATTTATTTGATCAGTGTGTTTCTTCGCTACTGGACTAGAAGTTCCAAGAGGGGAACTATGTCTGTTTTGGACAGTTCCCAGAACCTAGTACAGAATTGGCACATAATGAGCCCTATTTGTTGAACGAATGAAAAGTGAAAATACTGTTTTCCATAAACCACATCTTTAAGAATCTTGTTTTTTTTTTATTCTCTGGTCACTTTTAAGTTTTCGCTTCTCATTTTGTGTAACTGATCCAATGAATGGCCTTTTCATAGCAGGTAAGGTATGTTTTTCTACCAGTGGAGTATGTGAAATAGAATTGTCCTCTAATTTAAATAATATCTCTCCACCCAATTTTTTTTTTCTTTATAGGACCAATGCCAAAGGCACTCCCCTGAATATAAATAAGGTCTCTAATAGCCTGATTAATTTTGGAAGAAAGCTGATTTCTCCGGCGATGGCCCCAGGCAGTGCTGGTGGCCCTGCACCTGCACCTGGGGGCAGTAGTGGCAGCTCCTCCACTCCTGTGATTCCCCCTAGGACCTTAACAGAGGCCCCCAGGCATCATTTGCAGCAGCAGCAGCAGCAGCAGCAGCAGCAGAGGCTGATGAAATCAGAAAGCATGCCAGTGCAATTGAACAAAGGTAAGGAAAAAGCACTAGTAAATCTAAAGAAAACACTCAGTGCAGCCCGAAATTTCCTCACTTGCCCGAAACATTCTCCTAGAAATAGAAGTTAATGCAAAACTTAATTTTTAAAAAATCTATTGTATTAGATCCTTTTTAAGTTGGAATATCAGATATTATATTGTTCTTAATTTACATTTTATGAGGTAATTTGTTAAGGTGTTTTTTTTAACATTTATATCCTAGTATATTACATTTACGTCTTGTGGATCTGTATTGAGTAGGGCATGAACTGTCACAACACAGAACTTGAAGTCAACTGACTGTGATCTCTGCTAACTTTGTATAATGAAGCTTCTGACTAGAAGAGGCTCTGAAATGGGAAGTTCCAACACCATAGGCTATACAGTCATAGCGTTAATCCGTGCCACTAGGAAGAAGCATGCCACTAGGCTTGCAGTCTCTCATCCAGCTGCTTTACCCCTGGGGAATACAAACTGGAGCCTTAAGTGGGGAAAAAAGCTAAACAGAATTTCAAGCAGCCAAAGTAAGTGTCTGGGTCCATACACGAAAAGTTAGAGCCCTAGAATGTTAGAGCAGAGGACAGCTGGGAGATCTTCCAATCCAAATCTCATTTGATGACTGGGGCACTTGTGTTGGTTCTGCTGTTAGTGGCACTCCTGCAGCTGGGACTCAGGCAAGCTTATTTCTATTTCAGGGCCTTTCCAGCGCTTCACCTCCCTTACGTATTTTATTCTTAAGAAAGCCCTTCAGGTTCTTACTCAGAACTTTTAAAGTTTTATTTTCCACTCATTTGCAGAGACGTAATGTGTTAGGTACCCCTATTCATAGCAGATTAGAATCATCCACATTTATTTTTAATGGTGGGACTCTTCTGTCTATACTCTAGAAGAAAGAAAAGTAACATGATAGCAGAATATCTACAAAAATCAATCCCAAAACCTCACAAAGCATAGAGTCTGCAGCCATAGTTTCAAATATCCTGACCCATGCCTCATTCGTATCTTGAAGGGATCCTGTGTTACAGCCATATTCAGTAACTGGTGCTGACAATAGCAATAGTAATATTGAGTCAGTAAGAAGACCCTAAACCATGTTCCATATACTATGTTTAAGAAGATGGCATCCAAAATTATTAAAAGTTTTAAATTATTGGCATTTAAATTGGTAAACTTAAGTTAAATAGACTTTATTCCCCAATGATATAAAATAATGAGTAGTATCAGTAATGACTGTGTGGTGCGTGTGTACTCTTCCGTTAGTTATAGCATGTTATCTATCGTTGCCTGTATGAAGTATTAGACTTTGTATAATTAGTATTTAAATTGCTAGTCGAATATTTGGTTTACCTTGCGTAAGAATATCTCGTTTAAAATTGCATTCTTTTTTTTTTTTAATGTAGAGCTATCACACATGATTTAAAGAAAAGGAGACTTCAAATCATTAACATGTTGTAAATGTATTTTAATGCCAGGAGACATGCCCACTTACAGGATAGAAATGAATGTTATTTCATATATTTCTTAACTGTACTGTTTTATTGTTGTAAACAAATATGATTTTTATATTGCTTTGATAACAAGCCATAGTCAGTAGTAATTCTAACTGATGGCAGGCAAATGAGTCAGAGAATCTCTTAATGCTATAGCTTAAATTTTCTGAGGAACCAAGCCAAATGACTCTAGAAATATAAAGTTGTATCTCTAAGGAAATGTCAAGTATTAATATCACAGTAAGTGAGAAGGGAAGTGCAGGAGGGTGGAACAATTGATGCAAACGAAGTCCCCAGTGATGAGGAGACCACAGAGCGCTTAAGCACAGTATTTGGAACATGAGCATCACCAGGGCATTTTGCAACTGATCCCTGTGCTGAGAGAGAGGGGCCTTGTTTGGCAACTCTTCTCTTTATTTCTGCTTTGTTCTTCTCTTGTCAGTCTACAAAAAGCTTGCCTACCTTCATGTTAAAGATAAATGTTCCTGCTAAAGCCCCTCCCTGCATAAAGGTTTGAATAAAATAGAGTTATCAGGCAAAGAGAACAGTTCATACAAGTAGAAGTAGAATAGGTTGATGCTCTTCCTTCCTTCACTCTCCCGGGAGCTGTAAGCAGAATCCTGAAGCTCTCTGACCCTTTCTTTCCTCACTCTGAAATAAAGGGTTTGGACTGAACTGTGGGGAGCCTCCCAGCTCCAAAAATCTATTGTTTCCTTTGGTGAAAGATACATTGTTACTTCTCCAACATTAGTTCTTTATGCTGGTCTGTCCCACAAGTGTCCTGCTGTGCTATGACGCTGACAAATCTGCAAGTGTGTCACCTCGTCCCAGAGATTAGTGAGCACAGTATTTAGCCTGTCAGGAGCTTTGTGTTGGAATATGACTTCTAACTAGCTCAGAAGAAAGTCATCTATGTAGTGCCTTTGAGGAAAGATAATGTAATAGACTTTTTAGTGTACTCTGCTGGAAATTTTGGAAGTTGTTTTGAAAACTGGTTGTTTATAAAGATAAAAGTGCTTATGGTTTTCATAGGTAACTCTCGATTATTTGTGCTTATATAGGAGAAGAATTATATGAAAAACTCAAAATTCATGTATCTCTTGCTTGAAATACATTCTGTAGTGTGTATATGTGTTGGGGGTGAGGTCATGAAGGAAAGAAAAGGGAGCACAAATGTTCCTCCATAATTTTCCTGGTGATACTTAATATTAAGATTAGTTTTCAGTCTCTAAATATACACTAACAGGTGATCCAGAAGCAGCAGAGTAAAATAGGTAACAAGTATAAATTGAAAATCTCCTTCAAATATATGAAAAATAGGCATACCATTTATCAGTGAATAGAGTTTTTATCAGTGAATAGAGAGTTAACTATATTATGAAAATTCAGGACCTGATAAGTTCTGCTAAAAGCCGTTTATCACTTGTTTGGAGTATGTACCTATTTATAGATTTTATTTCAGTTATAGGAGAATATAAATGCATGTACTGTTAATTGATGAGGACGATATGATTACAACCCAATAATTTCCAGATGAGCTGACCGTGCTGTAAATCATAATTGTAGCAAGTGGTCAAGGCATTGAGGGTATGTTGTGTAATTTAAAAATTGATTTTTTACTATTGTATGGAAGCTACAGGGGAAGTGAGTCTATTAATCATGCGTTGTCATACATAGAAAATATGGTTCCTTTTAAGAAGACTTGTTTTTTAGCTTGTTAACCTCAAAATAGCATAGGCCTTCAGATGCTGATCTATCCGGAGGATTGTTCTGTTGACAGTTACTGTGCTCCGGGCTGAACGTTGTCATCCAGGAAGGAAATCAAAGAACGCAAAAGTCTTCCTCCTAAATGGTAGTGAAGCTCAGGTTCTTCACAGAATTCCCTGTTGTGCTCCTTTTCCTTTCTTTCCTGTGTTTAAAATGTACTCCTTTACCCCCATTTCCTTTGTCTGTTTTTTGAATTTGAACACTTCTTTATTTTAAGCATTTACTACAGGTCCAATTTGTAAATGAGATCTTGCCTATAATAAGTATATCAAGTGTAAAGGGTATGCAGTTCACAGATTTATTTTTACATGTTGACATTTACAAGTACATGTGGTAACTTAGGAAATCTTTTCAGTTACTTAATGTGAAATTAGAACTTGTTTAGGTCTTTATCTTATCACTGAAGATATTGGTTTCAAGTTTAGTTAAAAATAAATTTTGTCTGTTATAGGAGGAAATCAATTTCAAAAGAATGCTTACTTCTTAATAGATGCATATAATTTACTTTTGGGTAAAGAATTTTTTTAAAAAGAAAGAAAATATAAAATCACACTACTATTTGTAGCATAATGAAATCTGCTCAGCAAAATCTTTTGATTGCTAAAGTTTTCTATACTTTAAGCTGATAAAAACTTTTTTTTCTTTAAGAAAAACGCAAAAAAGCTTTTTAGGAAAAAACTTTTTAAAAACTATTTTCTTTTAAAAATATTTAGTATTTTTCAAGATTGTGCTATGTTTTCTGTCGTACTGTGCTTTTAGTAATTAGGTTGATGAAAGTATTAAAACATTAAGTATAAAAGAAAAGTAATTTTTTTCCTTTTTATGAAATCTAATTATTTTTTCTTATGAAATCCAGGCGATGTAGTTACAGGAAGCGATGCTCAGGTTTCTGTTCCTGTCCAGACTCTAACTGACCTCCAAGGTACAGTTATTGTGGCAACGTAGTATATCTCTTTGCCTGCACTATTATCATTGCCTACTCCAAACTCCATTTTTCTTTTTGCCCACCCTCCGTTCATACTGTTCACTACCATTGTTCAGCCACTGAGCGGCACTGTTGTTTAGAACAAAAGTCCCCTCGTGTCATACCTTGGTGATGCCAAATCTGGCTGTGATGTGGATTTTCTAAGTTTGCACCAGCCTCTTTCCTTGCAAAATATGATCACTCCATATTTTGTGGTAATTTTAACACTGCACTTTATTTGGCAGCTCACACTGAGGTGTTCTTTTTGTTGCATAGATGCTCTGTGACAGTACTTGTCAAATTAGTTCTGAGATTAGATGATTTATAAGCTGTTTATATGCATATTATTGTGTGTATTAACTAGACATTCTTATTATACTTTACCTAAAAGAATTACAGCTTTATTTTGAAATAAATTTTTAAGTACAGGCTTTGTATTATGAGCCATGTTAACAGAATTAAAATCCTGTGTGACAAATCTCCATATACAGTAACTGGCACTGATTTAAAATCAAAAGATAATATTTTAATATCATAACTGTTCAAAACCTAGAAAAAAGTTTACTTAAATAGAAAATAATAGTAATCCATATTCAGCACCTCCTGTGGAATTTCAAAACGTATAAATATTTAAAGTTGCTCCATTAATCTTTTATTATGTAGCGTTTTAGATAAAATATGCTATAGAGAGGATTTCTGTATTAAGTGGAAGCCTAGACTAACTTTAAGAATCTTCAATTCAAATTCAGACTAAAAAGATAATATTGAGAAGGATTGGTGGCAGATGTTAGCTCAGGGCTAATCTTCCTCAAAAAAAAAAAGATAATATTAAAATTCATATCATGTTTTTCTTAATTTAAAATATGCACATAATATAGTCATGCTACTAGTGTTAAAATACTGTTTTAATAATGATATGTCTTCATAATATCCATGCTTTTTTGTAAATTAACAGAAAAGAATAAATTGTGATGAGGAGGTGAGTGGCGTTTTAGCTTAACTTCCTAAAAACACACTTTCTGGCGATAGAAGTATGTGACCTTACATCTATGTGTAGTTCTGGGTTTCACAGGGTACAGTTTCTGGCTGTGTTCTGGTAATGGAACCAACTGACCTTTAAGGGCTTTTCTAGCTCAGGGACTCCACGAAGAGCTGCTGTTTGCTCTTGGTGTCTGTTAAGTGATCTGTGTAATAAAAGGAGTGCAGTAGCATGGCCAATAGAAACAGCAGATAATCTCCAAATGATTCCTCTTTAGCTTTGTTAGTTATTGCACTAAAATGAATGTGAATGTGATCATCTGATATGGTGAGAATTCACAGGACTTAAATTTGTTTCCTAAAATTAAATCGGAGTTCCCAGGCAACTTTTTAACCAGTGTTTCGTTATCCCAGAGTTCACTTGCTAACTTTTCTAAGTTAGTTTGCTGCAGAGTAGATCTTTGGCTGTGGAAGCTCAATGTATAGCTGTAGAAAGAGAGAGTTGAAGGCTGTCTTGCTTGTTTGGACTTCTGCTTCTATGCTATTGCTTAATCCTGTTTTTCTGCAGACGAGAGGCACATGAACAGTGTTGCTTTTTAAAAAGAATCTTGAAGAGAAAGGTCATATCGTTTTGTTCAGATAAGTTGTGTTATATCAGTAGAATCATCTCATTTACTTATTCAGCACATATTTATTGAGTGCCTACTATATGCCAGACTCTGTTTTCATTGGTTCCTTGGCTTTCCCTGCAGTTTTACCAGGTTGCTTGGGTGTCAGCCTGTGCTTTAGATGACCCAGGCAAGCCTACACAGGAACCAGCTCTTTTTCTGGATACCCTGTTTGGAATTCCCCCTGCCTGTCATGCTCTGACAGAGATTGTATCAGTCTGATAGGAAAGGCTCCAGCTGCTTTATGAGACATGAGGCCCAAATAAACAGCTTTCAAATTGACTGTGACAATGATGGTGAGATGATACCTACCCTGATTTAGAGAAGTCACTTTTGTGTTTTCCTCAACACACTTCCTGCAGAGTGTCAAAGAAGCAAGCGGAAGTAGAAGTAAACAAAAATAGTTAATGATGGCAACAAAAACTTTCTAACAATCTGTGTTTTATAGGATCAGTAATATTAGAAGTTGGAGAACTTCATCAGAGGTGCCACACCCTTTAGACTCCCCTATATAATATTTCAAGAGTAGATATACTTTTCAGGGAAATAAAACTATCATTTAGATTTTCCCAAGTGTCTTTTTTCAAAGTAATGGAGTAAATTTCAAACAGTGAAGTAAATATCAATACTTTAAATGATTCTTTGATTATATGTAGTCTCTTTTTCCCATGAGATTTCGTATCTTTGCCTTTTAACACAATAATTGTATGGGTTTTAATTTTTGAAGAAAAATACTGAATATAAAGTGAGATTCCACAGTTTAGGTTAGTAAATAATTTTTGGAAAATTGTTGGAAGGTTCCATTTTTATATCTCTCACTGTAGGTTGCAATCATAAAAAATATGACAGGACAATTTGTTTTTTGAAGACTTAACTCAAACGCTTTCTTCAGAATTATTGTTGGAAATTACACACTTATCCCAGAAACCTTTTTCAAGAGATATTTAGGAATTTATTCATAAACCAAAAGCTTTAAAATATGCGTTCACACAGACATTACTTCCAAAGAGAATTTGGAGTTTTCAACAACAGAAGTATGTAAGTATTATCATATAATGGACCAGTAGGAAAGACATTTAGACTTCTTAAGTTATTGCCATAGACATTTTTAAAATTTATTTTTGTGTATGTTTATGTTATGGATATGAATATATATACATATATGCACACACATAGATATCATCATAAAACATTCATCAGGTTGTTTGTAAAAATAAAAAGGGGAGAAAAAGGTGAAAAATCTGCCTGCCCAAATAACCATTATTGACGTTCTTAAAGTAAAACTAAAATACATATAATATTAGACAATCCCAAATAATTAAAGGCATAAAACAGAAAAAATCTCTCTTTCCTCCTCCCACTTCTTTCTGTTATCCCGTTTCCCTAAGGGTAACAAATGTTAAGTTTCTTCTAGGAAAAAAAGATTTTAAACTGACAAGTGATGTGCAAGTCATGTTAAAGTGAGAGCAGCTCACGTGTCTGGAGATGACTTCCTCTCTGGACCTTCAAGAAGAGAGCATTTAACAGAAATGTCCCAGTGCTGATGACAAGCAGCAAATTAGTAGAACAAAGAAAAGGGAGGTCAGATCAACTAGAGTAGGACATAGTAATAACAAGACAAAGAGACTGAAAAACCAAATAATTATCCTCATGGATGACCCTGTATTGGTCACTCTGGTTGTTGAGAAATGATAGTCCCGAAGCAGAACAGATAGTTGCATTGTTTCTGTATAATCACTTAAGAGGGCGGAGCAATATATAATATGTAAAATGAATTTTGGGAAGCTTCAGTTAGCTAGAAAATGCAATTCTGTGAAAGACTTATTCCAAAAGACATTGAATAAATGAGCTGCTTCGGGACTGAGAGCAAGGTCAGAATTTGCCCGTTACATTAAAAAGACCTCATTCCATTTTTCTTTAATCTAATTTTGGTTCAGTTAGTCCAGCCCACCTGGCACAGCCCTTGTTAGGGAACAGGGTGGTGCAGCTTTGCCAGCGTAGGTTCCAGAGTTGATGCTGGGTTTGAATCCTGCCTCCATCGCTGCCTTGTTGGATGACCGAGGGAGATTACTTAACCTCTTATCTGTAAAGAGAGAAAAAGAAGAGCTGCTTCAAGGGTGGTTGTAGGAAGTTACCTCAACACCTGTCCCATAGACTGGCTCAAGGGTGCTACCCGCTCAGGTGCTGGTGATAATGGCAGCGCCATTATGCATTTTCCTCAAATACCTTTTTGGTTTTCAGAATCAAATTATGAAGGAACCGACTCAACCCCTCTGTCTTTTTCCGTAGCATACTTCTGATATTCTGAAACCACATGTCTGCATGCAAGCACTGGATCCAGCAGTGCTCGACCTCTGTGGTCAGGCTAGAACTGGTCTATTCCAGGGCCTTAGGTGCAGCCTGCTCCCATTCACTCTCCTTTGGCACCAGGATGTGTGTCTTGAATAAGTAAACATCAGCCCTCTTGCTGTCTGTCACTCAAGTCTGTGAGGTAACAAAATGTTACCAGATAAGGCCAGATGCCTCTTGTCCTGGGTCACTGTATAAAGCCAAGGTGGTCCCTTTCTGTGGCCACAGCATTGGGCTTCCCTGGCTTTTCCCTTTCTGCTCTTCTGAGCTATGCACCTCCCATCAACAACAACCCCCAGACTTCCCAGCCCCTGAACACCTTGCCTTTGGGTGTCCTGTGTCCAACTCCTTCAGCTGGTCTCAGGTTGATGGGGGTTCTGCCTGTTTATTTAGGAATATACCCCAACCCAGCCTCTGGTCTTATTTCCCATTGAGTTTAATGAGAGAAAAGTAATGAAAATATTATCCATGGGACATAGTAGGAGCTTAATAAATATTTTTTCCCTTCCTCCTTGTCTCCCTCCCAGCCATCCTGTAGTCAGGGCTCCTCACTGATACCTGTGAAGCTCATTCAGTCAACTTGGGCTCTTGAGAAATAACCTCCAACGAGATGTAGCACATGGGACACAAAGCTTTTATTGAATGTTTCAGAGAGGGAAAGAGAATGAAGGAAACACTTAATATACCCTACACATGGCCATATCTAGTCCGGATAGCTCTTTTGTGCACTTTAGAACAAGTATCCCTTCTGTACAGATGCAGCTCGTACCAGGGCATACATCTTAACAAGTAGAACGTGGCCTGGATTTCAGCTGCTCCACGAGGCAGTTTTAAGTACGGCATATGTGGTAGTCCTCTGCTTAGAGCCTGTAAGCTGAAGTCTGTGAGAGGTCCCTTGGAAGTGCAGCCAGTGTAAGCATAATCCCCACAGGAGAGGACTGGAAAATCTGTAACCCAGGGTCC